TGTAAACCCAGAGTCGCATCTCAAACGCACAACATCAAGGACAGAACTGAAGTATCCACACGTGATCAGCGAGAACGTCTCTGGTTCAGCAGACCGATGGCTTTGCAGGCGGTAGAGCCGCAGCAGTGACAGGGCCGTTAATGAGCAGAATGCCACTGTCACGTGTCCTTTCGAAACAAAGGAGACGAGACAATGCACAACGCACCTTCTAGGCTTACAGTGGACCGGGCCGTATCAATCGTGTGCTGTGGTCAGCGTCACCCACGCCCCAGGCCAGCAATGAGAGGCCGCAGGGGCCCTGCGTTCTGATTTACTAAGAATGCAGGACCAGTAGGAAGGGGGAAGGGCTATGAGCACCCACGGCAGGAACCTAACCCCGTCCTGGTCTCGCATTTTCTTTCCACAGGGTCTGGTCTCAGACCAAAGCATCCACAGCTGAATCTCAGTGGGCTCACATCAACCAGAAATGGATCTGTAATGAGCTGGATCATATATATAAACTCTTCTTACCTTTTGCTTTCCTTCACACTCAAGCTTATCTAATTGCTGAAATCTCTTATAAAAAAAAATAAAATAAAATGTTCCAGACACACTGGACTCAGCCCAGGCTGCAGAACAGCCTCACAGAAAACGAAGCCCCTCGCAGTTCACCAGTGGGACCTGCCCGATGCCTCACTTTAAGAAGAAACGTTACAGCTTTCAGTATCCATTTCTAAACATTTCTGAAGCCTCGGGAGAAGACAAATTAATGGCCAGTTCTAAATATTGTGGGGTCTTGTGAGCATTCTCTGAGGTTTATGGAAATGTGTGTGAGTCCCTGCAGGTATGGGACAGGGTGGGGGAAAAGTAGGTTTACAGTTGTTCGTGTGGAAAATAACACAATGATTAATGAATAGTAATACAGGAATAAACTCTGCTTTGCGCACTCGCAGCTGTAAACCTCCGTTTGCCCCACCCTGTGTGACCGTTTCCTCTAGAACTCAGATAACCGCTGCCAGAAAGTGATTCTGCTCCTGGCCAGCGGTTCCACCTGCCAGGAGAAGTGAACTTGGAGGTTCCCGTAAATGCTGGCCAGAGCCACCTGACCCCCTCCGGAGCTGACCACCTTCCTGAACCCTCTCTGGAGCTGACCATCCTTCTGAACCCCCTCTGGAGCTGACAGCCTCCCAACCCCCCTCTGGAGCTGACAGCCTCCCGACCCCCTCCGGAGCTGACAGCCTCCCGATCCCCCCTCCGGAGCTGACAGCCTCCCGATCCCCCTCCGGAGCTGACCACCCTCCTGAACCCCCTCCGGAGCTGACAGCCTCCCGATCCCCCTCCGGAGCTGACCACCCTCCTGAACCCCCTCTGGAGCTGACAGCCTCCCGATCCCCCTCCGGAGCTGACCACCCTCCTGAACCCCCTCTGGAGCTGACAGCCTCCCGATCCCCCTCCGGAGCTGACCACCCTCCTGAACCCCCTCTGGAGCTGACAGCCTCCCGATCCCCCTCCGGAGCTGACCACCCTCCTGAACCCCCTCTGGAGCTGACAGCCTCCCGATCCCCCTCCGGAGCTGACCACCCTCCTGAACCCCCTCTGGAGCTGACAGCCTCCCGATCCCCCTCCGGAGCTGACCACCCTCCTGAACCCCCTCTGGAGCTGACAGCCTCCCGATCCCCCTCCGGAGCTGACCACCCTCCTGAACCCCCTCTGGAGCTGACAGCCTCCCGATCCCCCTCCGGAGCTGACCACCCTCCTGAACCCCCTCTGGAGCTGACAGCCTCCCGATCCCCCTCCGGAGCTGACCACCCTCCTGAACCCCCTCTGGAGCTGACAGCCTCCCGATCCCCCTCCGGAGCTGACCACCCTCCTGAACCCCCTCTGGAGCTGACAGCCTCCCGATCCCCCCTCCGGAGCTGACAGCCTCCCGATCCCCCCTCCGGAGCTGACAGCCTCCCGATCCCCCTCCGGAGCTGACCACCCTCCTGAACCCCCTCTGGAGCTGACAGCCTCCCGATCCCCCTCCGGAGCTGACCACCCTCCTGAACCCCCTCCGGAGCTGACAGCCTCCCGATCCCCCCTCCGGAGCTGACAGCCTCCCGACCCCCCTCCGGAGCTGACAGCCTCTCTCGACCCCCCTCTGGAGGTGACAGCCTCCCGACCCCCCTCCGGAGCTGACAGCCTGCCGATCCCCCCTCCGGAGCTGACAGCCTGCCGATCCCCCCTCCGGAGCTGCAGTCTCCACAAACCCCTCCTGTGCGGTGAGTGGACAACCCCAGACAGGCTCGAAGGCTGGAGCGGAACCAGACGCTCTCTAAAATTCTGTAATAACCTGATGCAATGTGCAAACACCGCTGGTGAGAGTGTGTTCACGATGCTTTTCATGGAGGGATACACCTCATAGCCACTCTCATCTCGGATGAGCCGACTCCCATCCCAGCCGGTCACCTCAGGGGCCTGGGCGTCTCGTCTATACTCAGTTAAAGGCCATTAACCATATAAACGACCAACGCTTAATCAAGGACCATAACTCGTGCAGCTGTGACCTGATGTTCTCACTCTGGGGATGTAGCTTGGAGAAATAATCTCCATCTCACACGCGCAGAAAATAGCTATAAAAGCAGAGGGCTCACGGCAGTGTTGTTTCTAACTAACTAACTAACTAACTAACTAACTAACTAACTAAACTAACTAGTAAGAAACTGGTGATAGCCTAGAGATAAAATAATAAAGAATTAGTTACATGAATAATAATAGAGTTAGAATAGTATATAGCTACTACAATTCTAATAAGAAAAATATGTTATATTTATACTCTTAAATATTATATATATTTGTATATAGTTATAGAGATAAATATTTAGAGATAAATATTTTAAAATATAAAATGTATAAAAATATAACAGCTACTTACATGAAAGAACAGATATAGAGATGTGATATATACCTATATCTCTGTCTCTCTATATATCCATAAATGACATGTAGAAGAAAACTTGGAAAACTTAGGATTTTTATATATAAGGCTTGTGAGATTTTGTTCTTTAATTCAGAGTTTTAGTAACATTTTAAAAAAATGTTGGCAAATAATAAATGAGTCACAGCACCTCACAAAACAAACAAAAAGGGAGAGTAAATAAAATACAGGTTTGTAGTGTATGTGTCACTTTAAACAGGTGACGAACACCGCGGTCACTACGAATTTGTAAAAATCTAGGAAAATTTAGCAAGTATCAAATTTCCAGCTTTTCCACATGAAACTAATCATATTCCCTCACGAAGAACTGTGGGCTTCCCACTTATTTCCACTCATTACCTCTGAACACCAGTGACTCCAGGATGTCGTCACATCCGCAATTTATGTTTGTCTACAGAAGACTGAGCCAGAGCCAAGGCCCTGCACTGTGTGCCCGGATTTACATGCACCCCAATTCTGGTGGCTGATTCCATCACCTCCAAACAGAAGGCGAACATCTTGCCACAAAAAAACACAAAAACCCACAGCTGCCCAAGTGGAGCCCGTCGGGCGCAGGAGCCAAGAGCCCTCGCCTCGGGCCTCCAGAGCGTGCTCGGCCTGCTGAGAACCGCCACCGGCTCAGACGCCAGCCAGGGAAGGGCCTCAGCATTAAGCTTTTACAGGGGGCAAGTCAGGGTTTGTTTACAGGATTTACTTCTAAAAAGCCAACAGAGATTCCTGCAGACGAGCCCACGGGCCCGTGCGTCAGGACAAGCGCCGGTTGTCCGTGTCATTATGTGAGCGAGCCGCACGGTCCTATGGCCACGCGGCGTGCGCGGGACCTGCTGCAAACACCTTTCCGGAGGAAGCGGGGACGGCCGGCGCTCTCCCGCCCTGGGGACTTGCAGGCCCTCCGAGGAGCGCGCTGGCTCAGGGCCTTGTGGCCCCAAAGGCGGGCGCTCATCTCTCCCACCCGCCCACCTCTCCCCTACTTCCTTTAGCATCTGCCCGAAAAGGGAAGGAAACCTCCCCTTTCGCCTAGTGAGCTATTCTCACTGCAGCCGGGCTCCTGGTAGGGACCCATCGACTCAAACGCAGCGAATCCTAGACGGAAAGTAACCCTCTGCCAGGATCGGGAAGCGACCCTGGAGAGTCTCCATGCGGCGCACTTGAAGTCGCCCCTGCCGCAGACACTGAGGTATCACGCTGAGGGCCGAGACTGGCGCTCAAGCGAGACATCACTTCCACCAGCCACGAGAAACGGTAGCTGGAGCTAAAGCCTGGGACTCCCTAGCAACTCACAGCGGCAGTGGCGTAATTATTTTGGTTGTTATTATTTTAATGTCTCCTCCACGTCAGCGGGCGCCCTGCCTGTCTCGCGGGTCCACGCACCTCCCGAGCACTAACAGGACTATTGCGGGCTCGGTTTCGTATTAAAAAGGACAGCGCTGGAGAACCAACTTTGGTACTTGATTGCTAACAAATTATTAAGCACCCAGCAAGCGATCAAAGCTCAGGGATACAGATCGTGGCTTAGAAATAAATCTCTTAGGGCAAATCTTGACTCTGAATACACTGAGTGTCCACGTTTCTCTCCTGTTCACAATAAAGGCCGTGGAAAGATTTTAACGGGTCAGGAGAAGCAGGAAGGTCGTGTTCATTACACAGCGAGGAATGAACCAAGAGGTCACACGGGCGGAACCGAGGTCATCCTTCTGGCTTTTTAAAACTCCTGACGAGCATTTACTTGGATGCGATTTATCGCACGCAGCATACCCCATATCACATTGCTTACTCTTGTACGCCTAACGTCCTCAAATATATTTAAAATCCTCAACGGGATTGTTATTCTGGGGCCCACAGGTGACTTTCAGAGGGTCTATGGGGCCCTCGAAACTGTAAAGACCTAGAATCACTTCCTAGGAACAAGGTCCACGACTTCTATACGATCCTCTCAAAGGTCCCCTTTGGACCCACCATCTATGACTCCGTTTAATTGGAAAGTTTCTAGGGACCCCCCCCAACCTCTGGCCCACCTCTTGGGAAGAAAAAACAGGCCTCCTACCGCTTTCCTCTCCTGCTTCAGCTCCTGGACGTAGCGCGCTAGGCCCGCGACGATCTGCGAGGCCAGGTTCTCGGCGATGACCTCATGCTGCCCGGCGTAGTCGTTCATCTCGTTCAGGGTGGACAGGAAGGCCCTGCACGCCGTGTACCTGCGGGGCAGAGCACACGCCGCGCTCTCAGACGGGGCCAGGCCCGGCGAGCGGTCCCTCGGTTCAGGCTAATTTGCACCCGCCTCCCCCGGGAGGCTGAGGATTCATTACACGTAAGAGCGTTTCCTCAGGCCCTCAGGCCGGCTCAGGATTAATCACAGCAGGAGCACTTCACTGCGGAACTGAACCGCTCCGCGCAGGGCAACGGCTGGCTCCCTGAGCGCTGAGCCGGCGCAGCCCCGGGGCACTCACGCCCGCCGGGACCCCCGACACCTCGGGACTGTCCGACGAGGCGCCTCAGCCCCACGTGTAATTCTGTTTATTGTGTCGAGATGACAATATTTGGCCTATGCTGAGTTAAATGAAATGTGTTTTTAAGAGTAGCTTCACCTGTTTCTTTTCACTCTTTCTATTTTTATTTACTTTATCCTTGAGAACATGACAGATGCCCCTGAACGAGACTCTGGACGTCACGAAGCCGCACCAAGGCTGCAGCACCCACAGTCCACGCCCGGGCGTCCGCGCGGGTTGCCTCCCAAGCCCCCGGCTACCCTCGCCGGGACCGCCTGCGACAGGTCCGCTGACGACGTTTCTGTTTTTCCCTCCCCCGATTTCAAAAGAGACACGAAGGTGGGTAGGGAATGCGACTGATTTGTGGGGCCCGCCCCTCCTGCCCCCT